CTGCAATAAGAAAGCTTCATGATTTTTTTTGTTGCCTATAAGCTGATGCAAAGTACTGCTCAAGTCAGCTATTCTTTATTAATAGCTTAGAAATCTCAGCCAAGAAAGACCTAGCATGTCTAAAAGAAATGATCAAACAGAACTTGTATCTCTTCTGGTTAGCTGGAGTATAAAGTGGACTTCCTATGGACTGAGGTTGTTTGTAAAATACTTGATACCCTTAAATTTCAGTTCTAAAATCAAAGTCAAATCCTTCTTGAAATGAAGTACCAAAGCAAGTCTCAGCCACCTTCAGGCTCTGAAAATCATGCTATCCTTTTCTTTTGCACTGTCTCCCTTTTACCAGCCTTAGAACAATTACAGAAATAGTGTAAGTTAGCTCCTGTTTACTGCTAACAGCTTACATACATACCAACATCACAAGAAATAAGTAGCTCCAAATCTGAACAGCACTGTCTCTCTCATGTGAACTTTTACCTTTTGAGCTTGCAACCAGAGGAGATGTGACTAGAATACAGAATCTTTAGGGTATGCATCTGCAAAGGGAATCAGAAATATTACATATGGGCTCCTCACCTGTGAGAAGTGAGGCCATTTCAGTTACTCTCATTTGCAAAAACTCAGACTTGCCATCACTTATGACTGCATACAGTTAGCTATCACTACTCAGCCAAGTAGAGGATGCTTAAGGAACTGCTGTAACACGATTCTGCTGTTGAGCTTGGTTTCAGTGACTGCATCTTCTAATGTCAGACTACTAGATATCACAGAATCACAGAATCGCTCGGTTGGAAAAGACCTCTGAGATCATCATGTCCAACCGCTCCTGTCTACCCCCTAAACCATATCCCTAAGTACCTCGTCTACTCGCTCTTTAAACACATCCAGGGATGGTGACTCCACCACCTCCCTGGGCAGCCTGTTCCAGCCTCTGACAACCCTCTCAGTAAAGAACTTCCTCCTTATCTCTAACCTGAACCTCCCTTGGCACAGCTTGGTGCCATTTCCCCTTGTTCTATCCTCCATCACCTGGGAGAAGAGACCAGCACCCACCTCTCTACAACCTCCCTTTAGGTAGTTGTAGGTGGTGATGAGGTCTCCCCTCAGCCTTCTCTTCTCCAGGCTAAACAACCCCAGTTCCCTCAGCCGCTCCTCATAAGGCCTGTTCTCCAGACCCCTCATGTCTAGTTTAGTTGAGATGAGGCTTCCTGAAAGTAATTATGATGGTGAGCATGACAGCGCATTGCAGACCAGCTATTTCTAAGGTCTGAGCAGTTGTCTAGTACACATGATAGTACTTCCAGAACTCAGAGGCTTTCCTTGGGTTAAAAGCAAACTTTTAGACAGAGGAATGGGATAATGGAGGGCTTCTGTCTTCACCATCAGGGAAAAGATACTGAGAATGCAATTGGTAGATATAGTACTGCTTAGCTAGAACAGAAATTAAGAGTTTACATATATTCAAGGTGTTTAAGGACCATTTATTGTCCAAGGACTTTGCTAGCAATAGGCACTAAACAGAAACAAGATTTTTATGGGACAGGTATCAGAGTATGTTGTTTCATTGATGCATACATTCAAAAGCACTTCCTTTAGAAAAGAAGTCCCAACAGTTCATCTCATGTGATGGCCTTGGATGGGAACACAGTGAACTTCTTAATATGGATAATAAATAAGCTTCCCAGATAAAAAGAGATCTTAATTAACATAAATGACACTTTGGCCTGAAAGGCCAAAGATAAAAGCAAAAAACTAAAGATGCTTACAAAGCCAGATCAAAAGGTTTGGACCTAAGTTAACCTTGCTTTTTCCTTTTCACTCCTTTGTTATTTTTTCCTCTTTATGCACAACAGTTTAAGAAGAAACATTATGACTTTTATTTTAACAATCAACAGAATCCACTGCAACTTCTTAAATTTTGTTTCAGGAAAGTCTGATGAAGATACATCCAATCTGCTTTTAAGCTAAAATAACAAATTCAGGGCAGCAAATTATTTGCTCAAACATGCCCAATTCTAGCAAGTGTCTTTATGAGATACTTTTTTGAACTGAGAGGAGGTTTATTATTCTCCTGGCATGAGAAACACTGCTGTGTTCACCTTGAGGGACAATCACGCAAATCACTGCAGCTTTTGAAACCTTAAGAATGTTTCATGCCAGCTTTGTGAACCAGAACCTGCACAAACTCCTGGGATATATCTAAGTACAGATATTATTCAGAATTATTTGCAACTTCAGAATTCAAGATATTAGAGGAAAGAAAAGGTTGCTACCTTCATACTAAAAAAAATACAAAGGTAAATCAGGCCGAGACCCAGTTCCTTCCTAGATTTTCTGGAATTTCCCCTGGTTCATGCATTGAACTGTCACAGAATAAAATGAATAGAGAAAGGTTGTTGAAACGGTGATTTCTGGGAATATGTTATATATGAGATCCTTAAGTGAGTACACTTAATTTACATAACTACTTTCTCTCAGAGTTGCAAACAGAACAATATAGTAAAAAAGGGGACAGACACTTCCTTAACCATAAGAACACAGCTCTTGGAGGTGAAGGTGCACACTATGTCTCCCAGCGAAGTAAGGCAGCATTTAGAGCCCTCTGCTTCCACCAAAGGCAGTGGAGAACATCATGCACTGAGGGCAGAGCAATGTCTTGCTGTCTACTGTCCTGAAATTTACTGCTTGCTTGGGGCAAGATGGGTTAGTCTGGCAAAGCACCTTAACAAAAGCAAATACGCTGTTCAAAACTAAAGTTCCATTAGCAATACAAACTTTAGGTTAGTGAATAAAAAATTAATATGGATCTTTATGCTTTAACAAAGCCCTTTAAAATTTAAACTTTTTATAATATAGGCTGTAAATAAAATTATACTGCACACACTTAAAAGACAAGGACGTGTACCGAAACTATCATATTAAAAATATGATATAAATGGCAAATATGAAATATCATCTGTATGCCTTGTTTATATCATACTTGTTTTGAACACATTTGAGCTGTTGTTAAGTTTCAGTATGATTTTCAGTGAACCAAAATAAATATAAAGAATGTGAGCAAACCTCTGAATCTACTATTAAGTGAACAGCAAACATTTTCCAATGAGTTTCTGCTTACATTAAATAAATGAATGAATAAGTAAAACAATTTGCAATGACTGTGTTTCTGGCCAAGATGCAATAGAAAGCTACTTCAGTGCCATGAGTGAACTAGCAACAGAGAAGCTTGCTGAAACCCAACTGGGCCTTGGTTTGCAAAGTAAATCCAGTGAAAAGCAGATTTCACAATTTGTTTCAGAAGAGCTACTATAAAGCAGTTCATTATTCCATACAAACAGTAAATGGCAAATTTATATGGAAAAAGGAAATTCTGGTGCTGTAAAAGAGAGACGTGAAGTGGTTTTGAAATGATTGAAAAATTTAGAGTGCAGATAAAAAAAACAGTAGTAAATATTCAGTCAACAGACTGGTCATAACAATATTTCTATAAACATAAAGAAAGCCCAAGTAGTTTCAGAAATGCCTGAGCACAGCTTAGTCCCATCTTAGCTGTAAATGCCAAGAATTTTTGAGCAGATTTTTTGTAAAAATGTATGCAGGGCATTTACACGCTTAGAAAAACAATGCCTAGTTATTTAATTCATTTAGCACAAACCAGAAAATTAAATTAGGAAAACAGCCTCATATATAACTGTAATTAAATACAAGCCTGATAAAGACATGTTATGGAAAAGAGGGAAAAAAAAGTGATACAGATGACTTTTTTTAAAAAATGTTTCTTAAGCATTTTTGATAGTGGAAACTCTATCATCCTTGCAAAAGAAAGTGATCAACAAAACATGGTTTGGATTTAATTGTATCTGCGTAAGTATCAGAGCAAAAAAGTCAAGCTAGTTCTGTTATGTGTTGTAGCCCTTAACATTGAAATTACACCTTTTCCATTCTCAGAACTCAAAGTATTTCATACAAGAGAAGAAAGGCAATAAACATCAACTTGAACAGCTGGATATCTGAAGCTTATGACAGCCAAGTGTTGGTATATCTCACAACACCAGATTAAGATTTTACTACACCAATTTACTACTCCATTCCACTCCATTTTTCTAGGAGTCCAAGTAGCAGCATAGAGGTAGTAGAAGAAAGCACTGAAGAAGGTGAGTTTGACCTGAAGTTTCTAAACCAGAATCCTGCTACAGCCTGAGACCCTGAAGGTCAGGTCAGTAGGGTCTAGGAAGTAGAGTAATATGGTGCTACACTGAACTAAAGCAACTGAAATATGTCATTAGCTTACAGAAGTTGCTGATATATAAGAAAGAGAGTAGGCCTAAAGTTTGAAACTGCAGCTTTTAAAACTGACACAGCAAGATTCACTAGACTGTTTGCCAAAGCAATTGAAACAAAATTAATTTGGGCAAACTAAATTCTTCCAGCATGTTAGTAATAATTTTTTTATCTCCTTCAATACTAAGAATTTGGACACAAATGCAAAACCAGTCAATTACCTGAGTCATTACTCGAGAGTAATGACATTGGAGTCAATGAGTAATGACTTGCCACTGCTCAGCTGAGCTAAGTGCACATTCTCAGTCCATCTAATTCTAAATTGTACAACCTTCTGGTGAAGTCTTAGGCTAACGTATTTTCCCATGTGACTGTGTGCACAGCCTTGTCTTACTGTTGTCACTTTCTGTAGTTTATTTAACAAGAAGGAGTTACATGCTTTTTCATGCCTCAACATAATCTCAAAAAACAAGGGATCACAAGGAAACTTTCATATATAGTCTTCAAATCGCTTGTTATACTTCTGTGTTCTACAAAAGAGTCTCTTATGAAGAAGGCAAATTCTAAATTATTCTTTTGCTGTACATGAAGAATTAAAGCAAGGTTATACTGATGACAAATAAGTGAGTTCTTACCTTTTAACTACAGTTTGCATTCATATTAGAAAATAGAAATAAAATTACCTTTCAACTTCTAAAGCTTTTCTGTATGAGCAAAACAGTAAAGAAAAGGATATTTTCCTGGCATTTCAATACCCACTCTGTAGTCCACATAACTTTGATACGGATGGAAGTTGAATACAAAAATGAGACCTGCTCTCTCAAATGCTATGACCTTATTGGATTCATGCTTTTCACTCACATAGGCCTAGAAAAGAAAAAAATTAAAAATCCAATACTATAAAATACTTCATTTGTAACTGAAATAACAAAAAAAAGGAAAGAAGAAAAACCCACTGCTTCTATACCTCATTTCAATTAAAACAAAGATTCAAGCAACACAGATAAGGATATTAACATGCAAACTGCATTTTTTTACCTATGTAGTGTCATATAATTTTTTTTTTTGGTAAGGTAATGTAAAATTTAAAACGTAGAAGCATGTTAGGTATAAGGCACTTGAAAAATTCTTGCCTAAAAATTGGTAATGTGGTCTTTTAATCACACTTTCTTTTAGAAAAAAATAATTTTTACAAATCAAATCTTCAGTCTACTTGTTATGGGGATCAGCATCACAACTACTGTTAGTAATTTAGACAATGAAGCACTGGATATGTTTTTTGTTTGTTTGTGAAATCTGTGACAAATAGCTTTGATAGGTCAAAGTAAACTGCCGCACATACCACTTTTGTTCTGTTTGCTAAAGTTGTTAATAAATAATAGACATGCACTTAAAAAAAATCTTAAAAGTGTATTATGACTAGTATGAAATAATTAAACACTGAGATATTACAATAATCAAGTTGCTTTGATAAAAAGTACAGTGCAATATTTAGGTAAAAATGGCAAATAGAAAAGTGACAGGTTGAAGACCAGGAGACCATAACTTACACTATACTGACAGTGTTTTCTCAGTAACAGAGTAATTATTATACAAAGTAAATTGGAAGAACAACTTACACTTTCCTAAATCAATCCTTGGATTGGATTACAGACAATTTTATAGTCTGCTTTATCCAATCTTCAGTTACTAAATAAAAATAGCAAAAACAATAGGAAAAGAGCTTGCTATGAAGCTAAAAGGAGACTGTTTCAGATTTCTATTATCTGTGGAAGATATTTCAGTGACATGTTTTGACAACTAGAAATATATGGTGGGGCATTACACAGTGCATAATAAAGTGCTGTTTAAAATTTCTGCATGCAAATTTGGTATTATTGTTATTCTGAACATGTACCCAACTGGTGACTAAAAACTTATTTAGTATACATAGCCTACCGGGGGAGATGCAAGCCAGCCAAATCTTTCCTCCAATTTATTCATATCTCTATCAAATGCATTTAGGAATCTATAGCGAAGAAGATGATCCTCAGTAAGATTAAACTGTCTTCTGGCGTAGTGGTAGCTCTCATTATTCCCTCTTCTGGGGAAGTCAAGCCATTCTGGATGTCCAAATTCATTACCTGTATTTAAAATATTAAGAATCTGTGAAATCCCATGCTAAAAATCCACTAAAATCACAGAAGTAAAATCCATTAAAGTACGCTTCCTTTCTACAAGTTTTAAATGCCAATGAATTATTCTCCATATACATATCAGTAATTTTATTACTAAAATGTCTCTCAGCACTTTCATGCTTGTTAATGGGTTTGTTTGGCCAATAAAATTACCAGACCAAAATATCCATGGACTCCAGGGGAAGTATAAAGTGGTGAATGAATTATAACCTCTATGCTATCACACCATGCTTAAAGCTTCCCGATTCCCACCCCTTGATTAGAGCACCAGAATTTCAGTCAACCAGGTTACAAATTTTAGTGTCATCATGAAAACTAAAAACATGACTTTAACAGTAAAAATCCATTGTTTTAGAGTACCTGACACTAATCAGCACTACCATCCACATAACAACAGAGGCAGAAATCTCTCATTTTATCAATTAAACTTAAATTAAAATTAAAGACCAGTTCACTTTGACAATTTTTTTTTTTACTTTTTATCCTGGCTATAAATACCGACATCATTGTTTTCAGTGGTATAAAAGTAAATATTCAAAAAGACAACTTGAATCTCAGTTCTTCACTTCCTAGAAAAAAAAAATTCAGAAAGACATTCTAGTTTAAGCAGCAGGCTAGATTATAGACAACAAAGCACAACACTTCATTATGTATTTGATTCAGTATTTGATACTGAAAACAAGTGACTTAAGGCATGTGACAACTCAGGGATCTAACTGCATATGTCAATTCAGCCACCTTGCAAGGGGAGGTCCTTTTCCAAATATAACAGTGTCATGAGTACCATGGACAGGTTTCAGGCTGGCATGAAGCATGTTTGAGTGCTGGGTTCCTCTGTGTGCCCACACATTACGGTCCCTTTGCGTGTGTGTAGTTATCGTTGTATTTCAGTGGGGATTTCTAGAGTAATGCTTCACAAGTTTGCCAGTCTCATCCTGATTATCTAGATCACACAACTAGAGAATAGACTTCACTTTAAGACAAGGATTAGGTATATTCAGACTTAGACCACACTCCATTAAAAAATGCAGGAAAAAAAAAAGTTGCAATTCTATCAAATAAGTACCAGCTTAGCTTCTCTTATGTAGAATCACCGAAGCAAATCTCAGCTGTCAAAGCTAAACATTCATAGCAATTTGGACTCAGTATTTTGAATGACTTCCATGTATGCAAAGTTTTCTTGTTTTATAGACTGTCATTATTACAGTTTGATACAAGTCCAGACAGACTTAATGGTCCTAACTGGAGCTACAACCCGCTGCCCAGCAGTCTCTCAGTCACTTTGGACTATTTATTTTACACAGGATTAAAACATGTTAAGTACCCTGAAAATTAAACACACATTTCAAAGCCGATGATTATTGTGATGAATCAACAGAGATTACATAGAATACTTACTCATCATAAAGAAGAGATAACAACTGACACACCTAGAAATATGTACAGGAGGTAGTATTATCAAATTTAAGAGGGTTTCTGTTATTGTATTATTTTACTATTTTATTTTTTTGTTAGAAAAAGGATCCTAACGATTTCTACAAGCAGTTACTCAAGTTTTGTCAATAAGCTGGAGTTCTGTGGGCAAACGAAGCGCAGGGATGCTGAGAGAAGGCAAGCGCAGTTTCCTGGATGGATACCCTGCGTGTGCAGCCACCATCTGCTGTCTCGCACAGCCTGTGCTGCCTGGAAGGCTTGGAGGATGCGGTCAGCAGTGACAGCTATGAATTTAGATTTTCAATGTGATTTTTGTGTATTTCCATGCTTCGTGGGAACAAAGAAATGAACAGAGAACAAAAGAGAAAGGCTGCATATATATTTAGGAGAATCCTTCACAGTGGTATTCGCTTTGTAAACGAACTGACAAGCTGTAAATTAAATTTCCCGTTCAAAAGCTAAACCACTAGATTTCATATTCAGCTCAAAACCAGAGACAAATATAAAAGAATCAGAATCACAGCAGGACTTTGAAAATGATCTTGGAATAATGCTGGACTGAGCTCTTAAACTGTGCTAACAATACGGTACAGAAAATGAGGAAAGATATTGCTACAAAACAGACACTGTATCTAACCAAATTCAATATTCTCTTAAGAGCTGGGCAAGGTATTGCCTTCTTTCCTGATCTGCGCACTATTGAAAAGACAGACTGCATGAGACAGCTCAGTTAAAGACAGCAAAAACCATCAGAAAGTCAGAGATTATATGTATCTTGAAAAGACAGACAAGGAAATCATACCTATTTGTTCAAGAAAAACACAAAAACAGGGAAATAAGCACTAGAAGACAGTGAATAAATTACACTGAACTAGTGCATCATTTCAATACAGTATTTCATTGTAAGTAGAGCATACCTCCTCCATGTTTACACCACATACCAACTCTCTCTGCCTCTACTTGGCTTTGCCTATTTCCCCACCACCATAGCCAGTGTTGTTTGAATGCTGCATGTTGTTGGCTTGGTTTTTTTCTAAAGAGTAATAGAAGTGCAGCAAAATACAAAAGCAATGTTCTAGCCATTACTAATGGGCATTAAGAATTAAAGGAATTTAATGTAATGCAGCAACTTGATGGAAGACTAAAATGCTTGTTGATGTCTCAAAAGCATGTTGAGAGCCTAAACACTGACTGCTTGTGCTTTTAGTGTTTCTACAGACACTTTCTGGAGAACATACTCATGAGCTTTTTGGATGTGTTGCCTGATTTAAAAGCGTCCCTTGATTTCTCTTTTAAGAGAAATAGAAGTACATAAATAACGACAGAAGAAATTAAAATAGGCATTTTTGGTTATGTTTTTAAGATATGATATAAGGAAAAAGTAAACAAGGTTTATGATGCAAGCAGGCCTTCCAACAAACTCCAGAATGGTTTCACACTTGAGATGCATTAAGGCTATGCATCTTCTAACAAAAATACACATCTCACTACTTTTTTTTTTCTTAACTGCTATTTTTTCCTACTTTAATTTTGCAGCAAATGAGGGGAGATACTAGGAAAAGGGATACACAGATAACTCAATGACACACACTTTTAGAGATAACTAATGAAACCTGTAAAGTATGTACTTCTCCCTTTCCCACATTCCACTTCTCATTTCTGACAAGAATCAGCAACATTCACTTCTTGATAATTGTGAAAGCCTCTAAGCATAGAAGTACTATTGGGGTTTCTTTTCCTGTAATTAATTTGCTGTTTGATGTAAAGGTCCAAACTACAGATTGACAAGAAGCCAGCTGCTACAAACGATGCAAATCAAGACAATGGAACTAATGTGGGGGAGGCAGAGAACAAAGCCGAAATTAACTGAAATCTTGATTAGAGAAACAAAACACAGACAAATCATTGAAGTGCAATGCATACTAATTTTATCCGTGAACTAATTAAAGTCTGCTACTTCCTACATACTGTGCATATTGGACAACTTTACTATGTACAAGATTTCAAGATCACAATTCCAACAAATAAATTTTCTATTACTATAATGAAAACTTACACCACAATTATTTATTAGGTAAGAAATGCATTTACAACACAAAGTAGTTGTGCTGTTATGCTGCTGATGATTACTTTGAAGCTGTACCCCACAGGTCATTTAAGTTTTCTTGATCTCTCTTCCTTAGATATCTTTACTAGCAATTTTCTCTTAGAGAATCATGCTAAGCAGAACTGAAAGCATATTTAAAAGATGCAGCAGGCAGTGCCAGGAATAGCCTGTTATTTTAGTTTACTTGTATTCTGAATTAAGAATGACATTAAATACTTCAAAGTATTTAAAGCAAGTAGTTTTTTTGATACATTAAGAGAAGAAGTTTAATTAGGTGTATAAGGCTGAAAAAGTTTTAAAATTATCTAAAATACTATAAAAAGATCCTATTTAAAGCTGATGAGCTGGAGACTGAACACATTGGAACAGAATTTCAACACTTCCACTGCAACAAATTTCTATCAAAGTAACTCCTGACACCCACCTTTTAGATATTTATAAGCACTAATGAGATTCCCCCCTCAATCTCCTCCAGGCTAAACAGACCCAGCTCTCTCAGCCTTTCCAAACATGGGAGATGCTCCAGTCCCCTCATCATCTTAGTGGCTCTATGTTGGACTCTCTCCAGTAACTCCTTGTTCTTTTTGAACTGGGGAACCCAGAATTGGGCACAATATTCCAGATGTGGCCTCACCAGAGAAGAGGGGGAGGAGAACCTCCCTCAATCTCCTGGCCACACTCTTCTTAATATACACCCAGGATGCCATTGTCCTTTTTCTGCATTTACAGCCTCTCTTCTCTTCTTTAATATTTCTCAATCTCAACTGTTAGCACAGCAAACTGTTCGGAAGTGTGACTTTAACACTATTCAGGTATAACATTCCAGTCCTATTTCTTAACATACCAGTAAACTCTACTGAATCAGAATAAATGTCCATTTAGTTGCCCATTTCAAACAGTCACCAAAACCAGGTGCCTAGTAAAGGACCTAAGAATACAAGAAGCATAAGTGATGCTTCCACTTAGCACACTCCACCAGCCTTCATTCATTTGCAGGACATGACAGTAATTATTTTTTTCTTTTTTCCTCCTCCTTTTACAGACTATTCTTTATTACTAAAACCAACATGGAAGCCTGTACTGCATTTTCACACGGTCTGCATAGGTAAGTAGCACTTTCAAATGTCCTACCTATCTTTTCAATATCCAAGAATTTAATGAACATTCTCCTACTGAGGCTTTAAACCTCCCCCTCTGCCCTGAGAAATCTTAAGGAAAATTAGCATGGTGGTCCTCCTCAATATCATAAGGATCAAATGCAATACTAATTGCAATTTCTTCCAAATTCTATGGTTACTTGTTGAAGCTCTGAATAAAATTAAAAAACTCACAAAAGCATTAAAAAAACCTTCAAGATAACTTGAAATAAGTTTTCAGAATATTATCCTTAGATGCACAAACCACA